AGGAACCAGACACACTTTTTAGGAAATTCAATTAACTATGTTTGTAAATGGGCTTAACTATTTAAGGGAATTCAATTTGTTTAGTATAGCCATTAATTGAACATTAATCAAGGACCATGAAAAGCAATAGTCTCTATTTTTAAAGTTGTTTTCCATTTATAAATAGAATAATAAAATGGGTAATTGAATGTAGCGGGGTTTTTGGATTTGTCTGACAGGTAACCAGAGAATAACGAGGACAATCCGGGTTGGAAGGGAAGAGTTATTGAAATAAGACCCTACTTGAAGGGAGATACCAGTCTTCTTTCTAACCTGTCTCCATGGGCAGGAAGGGAATAGGGAGGAACGTTGGTTTCATAGATGATATCAGTGGCCTAGTATCCAGCTAAAGGATATTAAAATGGTGCCTGGGTTATCACCAATGCCCTGCTTAGAATCAGACGAATAAGCCGCAATTTCCTTTAGAAAGAATTCTAAAGCTAGGCTTGTTTCATTTGAATTTGGGTTCATGATTTATACCATGTGTCCAACTCATTCTGTGTTTAGCAGTGTGAGTAGGGTAAGAAGAGTCTGAGGCACCCACATCCTTTAAAACAACTTTGGTCCAGTTCTTCCTGAGAGAGCAAGAGCTCTCTGGTAGCTCTCTAGAGCTACCAGTTTCTAAAGAGATAGCTCCTGGCAGGTGAAAAGTTTTAAGCAAAAGACAGCATTCATTCATTCATTCAGTCAGTCAGTACCAGTTAATTTCTATTGAATGTCTATAGGGTGAAGCAGGGCTTTGGATTTCCTAAAGAACTTAAAGATAACACAAATTGGCATCCTGTCCTCAGGAACTTAGTGAGGGATATAAGCCCTCTCTAAAAATAATAGTACAATTGTTTTGTGGCGTAAGAAAAAGGAAACTCTCTTTACTGATGTCTTATGTGTCAGGCAATGTGCTCTATCACCTTGCCCATGATGTCTCCTCAAATCCTCACAAAATCCCGTGAGGTAGATGTTACTAGAAATGGGCAAAAATCAGATTAAGGAAAAAATTTATTAGGGAATATGGGTGCCAACTTTGCACAACATGGGAGTATGAAGAAGAGTGGATCACTAAGTGTAGAAAGGTAAGTTGGAGACCAGGATGTAAGGGATGTAAGGGCCTTTGGATACCCAAAGAGAGTTTGGGCTTTGTTCCCTAGTAAAGTGACACGTTCAAGTGTTTTGAAAGGAAAGTCAAGAATGATCAGGACAGTGTTCTCGAGAGCGGCTGCTGGAAGCCTGTGAAGGCCAGACAGGCATGTGATGTGACCTTGATGAGTCAGGTGAACCTCTCTTGGTATCTGCATCTAAATAAACTAAGTGGGGCATGTGCCTCCACAGGCTTGGGGATGAGGAATGAAGAGTTAGCCTGCTCCCTGTTTCTCGGGAGGACAGAACTGAAAAAGGGTAGACTGTGGACAGGCAAGGCTTCAGGTGTATAAAGAGAAAAATGCTTGTAGTCAGAGACCTTGGTTTCAATCCCAGTTCTAGGTATTCTGGAGCAATTTACTTATATAACCTTGCTGAGCCTTTGATTCCTTACGTTAAAAGGGGGGATAATAACACTTAGCTTAATGAATGGTTATGAGGATTAAATAAGACACAAGACCGAGTCTTTGGAAGACAAAGTCAGAAAAGCAGGAACTGCTTGCTAGGAGAAAGATTTTGAGTGGTGGGCTGCTCTCTGAGTTCGTATGCTCCTTGTTACCAGGTGAATCCAAGCAGGGCATACAAGGAGGCTATTTGTCAGGAATGCTATAGAAGGGCATCCAATGGGGGTTGCATCAGATGACCTTTGGGGTCTATTTCAAGTTCTATTTTTGTTACTCTCTGTAGGGTGTCTCCTGCTTTCAAAATGTTCCTCTCCCCACCCATACCCCATAGTGTTAGTATCTGGCACAACTCATAGGTACTAAAGGTAAGGCTAACCATAGGAAGAACTAGGTGGACAATAGATATCTAGACCTACAGAGCTAATTAGTGTTGAAACCACAGGAGTTATAAATGGACTTTTCCATTAAGCCAGCTAGAATCCAAGATAGTGGGGAAATTCCAGGTATCCGCTAGTCAGGCATCCTATTTCACTTCTGTTGCATTGTTCTAATCCTTTGGGGGCTTCTCCAAGATACCCAGAGGTCAGTATACATATGCATAATTTGTTTTTTTTTTTAAATGAACCATTATGCTGAAGCCTAAATGTAGAAAAGAGAAGCTCTAACTCTTGCTAAGGGGGAGCAGAAGAGTGCAGGGAGGAGGCTGAAATCTTACCCACTGGTTCCTTCTCGCCCACTCTGAAACCCCTGGTATGAACATTACTGTTTCAGCACCCGCCTGTTTTCAGCTTTCCTCTTGACTCTTGCTTTCTGGACTCTGATGGCAGCTGTTATCACTCCAGCTGCAGAGGGGATGGGAGGCAACTTCCTGTTATTCCATCCTTCCATCCCTGTGGGGGTGAGACATTCCCTCCCCCACTTGCTGTCAGTTGTAGAATGTGAGCCTAGATGCAGCCTTCTTGTGACTGGGTCTGGAAGAAGACTGGTAGTCACCAGGCCACTGTTCAAAGGCATCTGGTGGGCAGAGCAGGCAACAGGCACTACTTACTGATAAGTGTGTCTCTGACTAGGGAAGGGAAGGACGAGTGGCTAAGAGGCAGGTTAAGTGGGTTGTGCAGAAGATAAGTTAAGGGTTGTTGCATGAATGATGGGAGAGGAGGAAAAGGGAAGGATTCTGGTGAATATATGAGAGAGAGTTATAGTTTCTGGCTGTGAGATTATTTGGGTTCTGGGTACATTAAGGAATGGAGGGGGGTCAGGGTAATATGATGATCCATTTTTCTGTAGTCCTGTATTTTTAGTGAGTCTTTTCTTTGAATTGGGTGTAAATAATACAAAGAGGATTAAGCATGGAGCTTGCTTAATCCTGTGGGAAGATAAGGAGATATATAAAACTGGACATATTAAACCATGTTTATACCTTTGGACAATCTCAATAACCCTTACAATTATTTCCGATGTATTATCAACCCCATTTTATAAAGGAGGTGATCAAGGTTTCTGATGCAAAATTTTAGTGACTCACCCAGTTAGGCACCAAGTAAGTGCCAGAACTGGGCAATGGACCCCAAGCTCTTTTACTATCCACTATAGCACACACAGAGGACGAGGACTGAGTTAGGCTTTGAGAGAAGGGCAAGACTTCACACACAGAAGAGCAGGGATTCCAGGTAGGACAGAAGGTGAGAATCAAGGGATCTGTGATAGACCAGTTTGGGTTTTGCTGGAGTGAAGTAGGAGATGAGGTGGTAAAGATAAATACAAAGGATGCTAGGGAGAGTTTTAACCCACTGAGCCACCCAGGTACCCCTTGCTAGGGAGAGTTTTAAATGGCTAGCTAAGAACTGCAGGGAAAGGAAGCCTGATTTAGAGGGGAAGATGTTGATGGCAAAACTGAAGTGTTTTAGAAAACTCATTTGGTGGTGATGCATAGAAAGACCTAGAAGTGGGGGAAAAATGGAATCGGAAATATGTTAGGAGGTTGGAATAGCATAGGTCTGACAAACAGCATAATGGTGGTAATAGAATGTAGATTCAAGAGGACAGAGGCCTGGGCGTGTGGATGTTTTTCAGCATTATGGTGTTTGAACGAGTGTCCACTGTGAGCAATTGCCACTGTGAAGAGAAAAAAATTGTTGGTGAGGGGTGTCAATGGATTTTGGTTTCAGCCCCAGTTCTGGAGGTTCTGGAGTAACTTACTTACATTATCTGGCTGAACCTTTGATTCTTTATGTTAAAGTGGGGCTAATAACATTTTACAGGATGGTTGTGAGGATCAAGTTTGATCAATGTTTGACTCTGTGCATCTGTCTACAGTTTTTGGCAGACTGGTGAAACGTGGGGGATGTTGTCATCAATGAAAAAAACAATACAAACCAACAGAAAGCCAATACTTAATTCACTACATTTCCAGAAGGTAATGGATAATATGTTATCTAATATAAATAGAACCACGGTTCACCATTCAGCTCTGCCTTGGATCAGATATCAGGCAAATTGAAAGAACTGTCTCCTGAGAATCATTCTGTTCTGTCAGCCAAGGGGATTATACAGCATGATATCCGTCAAGAGTAAATGTTAGTTAATTCTTAATTGATAGCTCAGCCACTGCAACTGGCTCCATTCAACAGTAATTATTCTCATGTGGCTTGTTCAAGTCAATTGTGAGACAACCCCCCCGCCCCCGCCCCCGCCCCCTTCAGAAGTGTATGAAAGCAAAAGCCTTAAGGTACTTAAAAAGGTAAACAGTGATTTTTCTTACTTCGGAGATTCAATTTTATTTGCCCAAAAGCTCGGGTGGTGTGATTCTCACCACTAAAAGCAAAAGCAGCACATGGCTGATAACGCCACCAGTTAACAATTCAGAGCTGGGTCGGGGTTTCTACGATTCTCTTCCAAACCTTTCCGGAGCTTTTGAAGTTTTCAATTCCCCATCTAAGGGAACACCCAGCAGCCCCAAGATAAAAGGGCAGAGGAGAGAGCTGGCGGCTTCCTTTATTTGCATGACTTAAAGCTAGCCATTTTCTGCTCCACGCGCCGCGGGACTCGTACTTGCCGGTGACACAGAAGCAATTGTTTTTCCTTAGAAAGGGGGCTGGGGTGGGCTAGTTTCATTTCCGCTCTGGGTGGTAGTAAATGCGCCGAGATTAGTTCAAAACACGACCCGCAAGGCTCTTCCCCATACCATCACCTCCTTTTCTTAAAGATAGCAGGAAAGGCAGCAACTACACCCTCAACCACCACCCACTCCCAGCCCCAGTCTCGCTCGGAGAGGAATGTATAAAATTAGTTGCCTCCTCTGACTGACGGCCCCCCGGCCCAATCGGCGGGCGCCCGGGCGCGGCCGGCCCCACCCCCTTGCGAACGCTCTTTGGCTAATTCCCGCGGGGAGGGAGGAGAGAAGGCGAGTGGGAGGGGGGAGGGGAGGTACCTGGAACTGGGAGTGATGTCAGCTCCCAGCTCGGTGCCTGCCCGGATTCCTGACATGGTGTAGGGCCGGCGGGGTGGGGAAGGCGGGAGCGGGACGGGAAAGGGTTCGGGCTGAGAGCCTGCGGCGGAGTCGCCGCGCCGGGGCTTTGAACTCGGACGGAAGGTGAACCAGAACTTTTGGAAGTAGTGCCGGCGGCTCTCCACCCCCCAGGTAAGGGCGTTTGGCTCGTTTCAGAGACCGGAGGGAAGGGGCACCGTTGTGTGGTTGCAGCTGGGTGTTGCAGCTGCTCCTCCTCTTCCCCGGCTCGATTTCCTTTCCAACTCACTCCTGTTTCCCCGGGGGAACGGGAACTTTTGGGGGGAAAGGGCTTAACTCCTGGGGCTCCCAGCTAGCACATATGTGAAAAGTACCTCCACGGTGGACGTGTAAGGTATTGTCTGTTTCCTTAGACCCCCACACCGTGGTCTCCCAGTAATACTTGAGAACCCCGAATAGAGAACGTGTGTGTGTGTGTGTGTGTGTGTGTGTGTGTGTGTTGGGGGGCGGTATTTAAAGATGTCACAAGTTTATAAAATTTCGACTCAAAAATTATGCCCCTTGAGAGAGAACGAAAGGTTTGTATTTTTTTAGTTTCCCTGTGGCCTGTTACACGGTGATTTAAATGAAAGAGTATCATTGTTATTCTTAATATTCTTATATATCAATGTAAAAATGTCCTCTTATATGGTCTAGTCAGGATGTGAGAAATTCACTTGGGGTGTTTTAATTATGAGCTGTGGGAAAACTCGTCTCTTGGGGGCACACTTCTAAAACTCCCAACTCCTTTTCACTCTGACATTTTAACAGAATTTCTTTCATGGTCAACCGTGATCTGGAGGGGTTAGGAAAACTGCTGAGAATCTTCAGATCTCCCTGTGGCTGCCTGAGAAAAGGATGAGGGCTTGTAGTTGTGTTTTCAAGGATCATTTTTGGAAAAGAGAGTTTTCACAGGGAAATGGGGTGGAAGGTGGGGCATGCAAACTCTTAATTACAGGAGCATGGCTTTTTCAACATGTGGGACCCAAAACAAATCCTTCCTTTCAATAAGAAGTGCAGAGAGCAATAGAAGAAGAACTTGATTTAGTGTCCGGGTTTGGAAGTTAAGAAAAGCAATTGGCTGTTGGGAGGAAAAGATATTTTGAGAAGTGGAAGTATAGGATTCTGATTTTTGTTTATTTCCTGTTTGAAATCTTTTTCCTGTTGGGAGATCTTGTGTACCCAGGTCGCTAATCCGTTGTGATTGACTTTCTGGGGAACAGAATTAACTCCATAAACTGATTCAGAACCCTCACTTATCAGTGCTTGAGGCTCTTTCTTTTGGAGAAGAAGAAAAACAAAACAAAACAAACACCACGTATGGGCTGAGACTTGGGAGTCAAGTTTCCCTTTTCATTCATCACTGTTCCTCAGCAGTGAGGATCCTTCTGTTGCCTGGTCTGGTGTGAACTTTATAGTGATGCAAAAGCTGCATCCCAGGTGCCTTGAATGAAAGAGAATTTCCAGGAGGTGAGGAAAGAAAGAAAAGGCACATTAAGTCTTCTAAACCCATGGAGAGAAATAGGGAACACAGGACTTCATAGACCAGGTTCTCCATCTTTCTAGCTGATGACAGTCAGATTTCAGAGCTAGAAAGAAGTGTTTTGTTTTGCAGTTGTTTATAAAACACCTGGGTCTGTATTATTCTTGGTTCTTGAAAAAATTTAGTACAGGGTGGATAAGGAGCAGTCTTTTTACAAAGGGAAGGTGTGTTTTCCTGGAAAAGTTAAGGCCATTTTAATTTTGGTTTGTGTTTTGGGGCTAAGAAATAGCAATTGCTTAATGGCTGTGAAGTGGGTCTCTTCTATTTGTTCCATGGGAAGTACATAAAACACACTGTATTTTCCAGTGGGAAAGAGGAGGTAATGTAGAATTCCTTGGGGGTTAATGTGAGCTCACTGGAGCCTTGGTTGATAGAGTGTTCAAAGTGCAGTTTGTAATCACCAGTCAAGTAAAGAGCGTCTTTACGGTGTTGGGTTGATGTGCCAAATTCTAGTTTACGCTTTCTTTCGGGGAAACTAGTCCTGGCTTAGAGACTTGAATATGCTAATGCTTTAAATTTCATTCGCGGTTTGAGTAATAACACTTACTTTATGTACTTAATTTTAACAATATTTATTTCCCTTTCTCTGAGTTTATAAGGCAGATATGGTATAGTAAAACAAAGTACTCCTAAAGGACAGAATTTGAAAGATAAATTGAGTCATTGAGAAGGGTAAGATCAGGTTTTGGTTAAATTCTCTTTAGCCAGCAACTATCATACTTCCAATAGCTACTTTAAAAAAATAGGATAATCTGGCCTTTGTGGGCAGGTAGATGTTGACTTGAAATGAAGGGCACAATGTAGTTCCAGATCAATAGAGCCTAATTTCAAGGGCATCATAGACATTTTTTGGAAACAAGTTCAGTGAGAGAGAGCTTAACTGCTTATGTAGTCTTTTTGTTACTCACTGTACCAGCATGAGATAAATGAGAACAAGGTCACTTTTCCCCTCTTACCAACTAGCTGACTCCTTGTTAAAAACATGCCTTTCATATTCAGGAAATATTTGTATTTTTATAGTTAATTTATATTGGTAGTTTGTTATATTAAAATTAGCCTGTTGAGTTTTTCATCTTCCATTTAAAAAGGTTTCCAGGGTGCCTGGGTGGCTCAGTTGGTTTCGATTCACATCATGATCTCCGGGATCCTGGGATTGAGCCCCACACTGGGCTCCCCCCTTGGTGAGGAGTCTCGGGATTCTCTCTCTCCCTCTCCCCTCTAACCCATGCTCACTCGCTCTTCAAAAAAGATTGTCAAATTCCGAATAGCACATTGTTCAAACTGTTAAAGAAGACCTCATTCATCTGATTCTGTCTTTTCAAAGATATTATTACATTTCTGACCTGATCTGAATTACCTTTTCAAAACAAGGAGTGAAAGAATGGCTATTCATTTATACTGGGTGTGTGTCTTGATTCTTTATTAAAGAAATACTGCTTCAGAGTGGAAAGATAGGCAAGAGATATTGCATAATGATGGCCTATTTATTCCCAGAGATTTCCCTAGAAAGCCATATTAGTTCTGAAGTTAAGTAAAAAAAAGTCACAATTGAGCAGCCAATCGTGAAATATTTCAGTGAGCTGGGATTATTATTATTTTTTTTAGCTGTGGTTGAACAGATGGGTGTAAGTATGAGATGCAAAGCTGTTGAGATTAGTGACACTGGGTGTTGTCTGGGGATAAATGGAACAAAGTGTCTTCTGGCCACCAGTTCCCTTCAACTAAAGGTTGATAATTTCACAGTTAAATCAGTCATCAAACCGTCCAAAAATGGACACTGTCCTAAAACTGCTCTGGGCTTGTGTAGTTGATTAGCTCTAGTTTATTATTGCCATTTTTCCCCTCAAACTCTTCACCATGCATGTCAGAACCTTTTTCCTAGTCAAAAAAGCCGAGAGCTTTTGTCACATATGTTACAACCACAAAGACTGATGCTTTATTCATTGGAGGTAATGGCTTAAAAAAAACAAACTGAACCAACCCACCCTACAAAAAATACAAAGACTCTTCTATTTCTTTTACGCTGTGTATTTTAAATCTTGTCATTATTGATGCCAGTTTGGTGTAAGTGGATGACAATGTTTCAAAAGGCCAAGTGGTAAGGATTACTTTTTCTTTAATATTTTTTTCCATTTTGAAGGATCTAAAATGCCGAACAACTGGTTTTAGATTAAAAAATGGGCTCCCCCAGGAATTTGAAGTTTGCACACTTGTTAGGCACCTTTGTTGGGAGAGGGGGGTCTGAGTGAAATGTGTACCGGTCTATATCCATTGAAGAGTTTGTATTTCTGAAATGTGGCTTTGGACCCAAAGTGTGGTCCTGGTGGGTGTGGTGTCACAGTTTGTGACTGGACTTGGGTTTTGTGTCTCCCCAGAACTTGCTGTGACTCACATTTTGACTGGCCCACATGCAAATTCTTGTTTTTGTTGGCAAGTATAATGAGTTAAGAATAGAAGGATCATTTGGTGGTTTTTGTACAGGGGTGTACCTAAAAATGTCCAAGACTGAAGGAATTGTCCAAACTTAAATTGTAGTCAGCATCAATCATTCTGGCAAAGGCTCATGGCTCAACTGTGAATCCTGGAGGAAGAAGATCAAGTACTGTAAAGTTTGGGGCTGGCTGTAGATTTCATGGACACCCCCTGAACTCCAGAGGAAGGCTAGGTGTTTCCACATCTCTCTTAAATTTGGGAAATTAAGCATTTGACATAAAATAGATGCAAGTTCAGGAGAGCAGGTGGCTGATTCCGTGTGGGTGTGTGTTAACAAGGGCAAACTTAATTTTACCTGGTAGGAGAGAGTAAAGATGCTGTTTTCATCGACAAGCCCATTCATAAGCAAGTGGCCAATTTTTTTTTTTTAAAGATTTTATTTATTTATTTGATAGAGACAGCACAAGCAGGCAGAATGGCAGGCAGAGGGAGAGAGTGTACGCTCCCTGCCGAGCAAGGAGCCCGACATGGGACTTGATCCCAGGACCCTGGGATCATGACCTGAGCCGCAGGTAGCCACTTAACCGATTGAGCCATCCAGGCATCCCAGTGGCCAAATTCTTTAGGCAGGCAAGGAGGTTCTTGTGAAGAAGGAGGAGGCTCAATGGGAAGGGTGTTCATTCTTTCATGCTATACATATAGTACTCTACCATATCGCTAAAGAGGCCTACGTTATCTTATATCTCTATATGTAGGATCTAGCTCGCAGGATCCAGTCCTTTTTGCTGGCTCTTTGTCACCTTTCTCTCTATAATACTTGTACAGATGTCATCTCACCACCACAGAGTTTTATGAGGTTTTTGCGAGGACAGTTTATGGAGTTGACTTTATTTGGGAGAAAGTAAAAATAAGGCTAGAACTCGATGTCCTACTTTCTTAATATTCTAGCTTGTTGGTGTAACTGTAATTGCATAAGTCATGTTTCTGCAACCATTATCTGTGTCTAAAGATGCTGCTGCTTATAACAACACGTAGTAGAGGGTTTTGCTTTGTCTGAATCAGAATTTGGACACGCTCTACTACTCTTTATGAATGATAGAAGAGTCCAGTGAGCCTATAGGGTCTCCTCTATATTAACTGGGAAGTGAGTGAGTGGGAA